GGAGTTGGGAAAGGCGGGGAGCAACTGTGGCGTTCCTGAAGAACTTCTGAGATTGGGGCTGTCTGGGTCAGATCTATGGCCTGACCTTGCAATGGGGTTGACTGAGGTCTCTCCTGCAATGTCTGTATCAGAGGGAATAATCAGGGGCTGGCATGCCTGTGGCTCTCCCCAGTGATGTATACATAGGGCACATTCATGTCAGCCCACGATAATAGTGGCAGGATTGAGGGACATAGAGGCAGACCCCCAGCTAGGATGCATCCATCTTGTCTGATTAGGTGCTAAGCTGAGTTGTCAAAAGCAGAAATTTCTCCCACAAGGGCCTCCCAAGGTCAGAATGCCTGGAAGTCTCTGTACATATTTGGAGGCACTATGCTAGGGATGTCTGTAAAGATATGGAGAAGTCTCTTGGGGATGGTGACAACTTCCTGAGTGGGATCGTTTGTGAGCGGTTCCTACTTCTACTGCAGTATCTGGGAGCTTGGCCTGTAATGTAAGACTTCTTACAAGAGGGATGGTTTCCTTGCATGAGGCTCCCCAGCATGTGGAGGGCCCCTGGGTGGGGAGGGAAACCCCTCTGACCTTGGCAATCTGGTCGAACTTGCCGAAGAGCTCATTGAGCATGAGCACCAGTTCTTTAGGGGAACACTCACTGGCCAGCCGAGTGAAGCCCACGATGTCAGCATACAGCACACTGCACAGGGGGACCGTGTTCATGAGGTCAGGGCCGCAGCCTGGGGTCCCTTCCTCCAGCTTCTTTTCTCCTACCTGACTCCTTGGTGCCTCTTGACATACAGGCTGTGAAAGTTGTTCGTGTTCTCCGGCCGTGACACCTGCACAGCCTGCAGCCGTGCCATGATCTCGGCTTTCATCTCTCGGGCCAGGTAGGCAGGAAGGATGGACAAAAGGAGGTGCTCCTGGAGAAAGTCCCTCTGATGACACCCCTCCTACCCTCCTGTGCCCTATCGCCAAGAGCCTCGGCTTTCCAGATTACTCAGGCTCCGGCTCATTACATCCACCCACTAGTATGCTCCCTAACACTTCCAGTCCATCCAGCAGGACTTCAGAATCCCTTTCTGTCCTGGTCACTTAGGGACTGAACCCAGTATCAACACCTAAATTTGAAATCTCCCTTTAACGACTTTCATCATCATCATCATTACTTATTATCATTATTATTATAATAACGAGACAGTATCTTACTATGGAGCCCTGGCTGGCCTGGAACTCATTATCTAAGCCAGGGTGGCCGCAAACTCACAGATATATGTCTGCTTTTGCCTCGCAAGAATAGGGATTAAAGGTGTGCACCACCATACCTGGCTAAATTTTAATTTTATTATTATCACATGATGCATGTTTATGTAGGCCCGTGTGCCACAGTGTGTGGGTGGAGGTCAGAGGTCAGCTTTGTGGTGACAGTTATCTCCATCTACCTTTACTTAGGCTCCAGGATCTGAACTCATGGCTTCAGGTTTGTGCAGCAAGGTTCTTACCCTCAGATATCTCACTGGGCTTCAATTTGAACCTAGTGATCATCTTCCAGGGGTGGGAGACAGTCACGTGTCATATAAAAGAGGAAATGCTTGAGAAAGGCAAATGGATTACCCAAACCCACTCCATATTGCAGTGCTAAGCTGTTCTTCCTGAGCTGCTGTCCCCTTCCTGCCTCTTAGGTCCCACTGACCTGATGCTTTTTCTCAGTGTCCAGCCTCCGGCGTGAGTGCAGAGAGCTGAGAGCCTCCCGGAATGTGGCGCGCAATGCTCTCTCCATCAAGGCCTTGTGGTATGCTCCCACCACATTCCCACACAGGAACAAGACCGCGTTTGCTGCCAACTGTGGGTGAAGGCCAGGCTTGGAAAGTACCCCAGCCAGTGGGGCTGGGAGCGTCTGTCTGTGTAGTTCGAGTTGGTTCCAAGAACAGGATGGGGAGAGCCTGGCTCTACAGTTAGGGACCTAAGCATCTCAGGACAATTGGTGCCATACTATGACATCCATGGGAGAGAGCTGGTCCTTTTCCTCCTCTACGCTCTCTATTCTTGGCTGCTTGGCTAAGCTGCCCATTTACATGTACATTTGCATATACATTTTCTCTCCGAGAACATCATTCCACCATGTTCACCTCTTGAGCCCATTCTGCCTGCAAGAAACTACTCAAATTCTAATCATATTTTCCTGCTTTTTACTTCTGTACCTGTGAGAGAATCACGGCTGATTTCCCCATGGCTATGTCGCCCTCTTCTGGTTAAGGCAGGCATGGTGCACTGATGTACCAGCTCCAGGAGGTCGCTGTAGGGCTTTATCAGTGTTGGATCCTGCACTTAGGCTTGAGCCCTGCCTTGGAGTCCCAGCTCAGCAAACACCCAGAGAATTTTTATCAAGCAGCTGAGCCAGCTGTGGAATATTACCTGCACTCTTGCTTTTTGTTGTTTGTTTGTTTCGAGACAGGGTTTTTCTGTGTAACAATCCTGGCTATCCTGGAACTCGTTTTGTAGACCAGACTGCCTCTGCCTCCCTAGGGCTGGGATTAAAGTCATAGGCCACCACCCGGTTACTATTGCATTTTTACCTGTGGTAGCAGAGCCCTCTGTGGATCAGGCTGCCACCCAAGGTAGAGTCCAAGGACCAGCAGATGCGAGAGTGATGAGATGAGGCCTGCAATAGCAGCATCCCGCATCCCCAAGGGCAACATGGAATACACAGTGAAGATGATGAAGAGGAAAAATGACACCTGGAAAAGCGTGTGGGAAGCTGAAAGCCTGGGTTTCACTGCACAGGGCCTGGGTTTGAGGTCCCTATTCCCCAGCTCCCTGACTGTGATTCTCCTCACCTGGTCCCAGGCGCTCACCACACCCCCAGTGAACAGAAATCCATGGCCTAGAGCCAGCAGTGCAGCCCATATGAGGCCGGAAAGAGGTCGTGTCCAGCGCTGCAGTTGCTGCTCCCGGGAAGCCAGTCCCAACAGCAGAGAGAAGCCACCCAAAGCACACAGCACGGTTGTCAGGAAGCTTGGGTCTGAGGTCAGCTCCTGTGGAGAAAGGATGTATGAAGAAAGACAAGGATGAGATGCCTTGGAGTTTTCTCAAGGTGAGAAGGAGCAAGTTAGATGCCCTTCAGATCAGTTCTGTAAAGTATCTTAAACACACGCACCAAAAGGAAATAGGGCCGGTGAGATGGCACAGTGGGTAAGGGTGCTTGCCACCAAACCCCATGAACTGGTTCGAGTCCCAGAACCCATATGGTGAGAGAAGAGAACTCATTCCTTTGAGTTGTCTTTTGACTTCCACATGTGTGCACTTAAACAAAAACACACACACACACACACACACACACACACACACACACACACACACACACACCTAAATAAATGAAAGAAAACAACAGGGCCAGCACCGCTTGCTTTTCACATTAAATGGATCCATAAAAAGTTGCTGAAACCCTACTGGTTTTATCCATGAAGTTTAACAGTCTCACATGGTTCAACCTAATGTCTCCCATCCTCTTTCTGAATCCTGTCTGTCTGTTTGTTCTTTCAGTTTTGAGGCAGGGTTTCATGTCACTTGGACTGGCCCCCAATTCACTGTCTCCCACATGCTGGGATTCCAGACTTGCTTGGCTGTTCCCACAGTTAAAGGGGAGCTATAGCATGTGCTTGGGATTCGGAGTGAAGGTCACTCAAATGGCTACTTTGCTTAGGAGAGTCCTCTCTCCTGAAGCCATAGTGCTAAACTTCAAATGTTTAGTCAGGTAACCCAAGTTTCTGCAACTCCTTGCCACCCAAGTGCTGAGATCTGAATACCTGCCTTTCCTCTAACCTAGAAGTCCTATTCATTATCATCCCTACCCTTTGTTCCCACTTGTCCTGGACTTGGGGGTAGACAAGGATTAGCAGGCTCAATCATTTTTCCCACCTTGCCTCCAAAGAGTAAAAGGAAAACCCGGAGCAGAATATTTCCAAATTTGGAATTGAAGACCACCCTTCCTCCCCAACATGAAAGAAAAAAAATTTTATTTATTTATTTTTGGGCAGCTAAACCACAGGGCAGAAAACCGCCTTTTGGAAGTCGGTGGGCACAGCTAACAGCCTCACGTTCCCAAAACTGGAGAGAAAAAGTCAGGAAATGAATTCCCCTAGGGACTTGAGTAGTTTCCTCTCTGGAAAACTGGAAAATCCGGTGTTGGATTTACCGTAGAATCAGTAGGGAATGGTGAGATGCATCCGGGACTCACTTACCTCCCAGTATAGACTCAGAGAACAAGCCCAGAGGAAAGAGGGCTTGGTCACATGTGCCCAGAGTCACAACAGTTCATGACGAGGTTCAATGCTTCTTTTCCGGTTCCCAACAAAGACATTATTAACTAAAAGACCCCGCAAACCCCAGTCCTTCAAATGTTCCCAGCCCGAGGCGGCCCGCACCTAGCCCATCTCACCCTGCCGCTGGCCCAGGCGACGGCTGGCAGTGCCACGAGCGTGCAGAGCACGATGATCAGAAGCAGTAGTAGCAGTGGGTACTGTTGGCTCAGGCTGTAGTAGGTCTCGTAGAAGAGATCTTCGCTGGGGGGCGGCCGGGGACTGAAGAGGCGGGCCATGGTCTCCCCCGCCCCAGCCTTGAGCCCCTGCCCTGGGGACCGCAGGGCACTCAGTTAATAGACCCACCCTGCTACTGCGCTTTTCTTCCTCTCCTGGAATCACTCCGACCCAAGCCCCCAAGCTTTCCAAAGCAATAGGGTTCCCTGCCAGGTGCTCTCTCAGGGGGCTCCCAGCTGGATGTGACAGGACTTCTCCATCCTTCCCACAAACCAGACCGTGGTATTGTCCTAGCAAAAAGTCTCACCGGAGGGACAGCCGTTGGACCTGAAGAGAATGGGCCCCAGAATCTCCCTCAACCCGTTTACTCACTGCTTTGTGTCAAGCTCGAAGCTCCCTCAGCAAAGCTTGGCCCTGGGAGGGAGCCTGGGTAGGCAGGGGGCCACTCACTCTCTTGGCTTTGCTAGTAGCTCAGGGCAGCAGGCAACTGGCGACTGGCGCTTCCCTCTTGGCGCCAAGGCCCCCTCCCACTTCCCCACGGTACAGTCCAGCCCCTTCCCGTGCTGAGCCGGACTCCCCTGGTTGCCTCCCACGCTCAGTTTGTGTTTTCTCACCGCTACCTTGAATAGCATGTGGGCTATGGAGAAACAGGAGGTAATGGAGAGGGCTAAGAGGTCGAGATAAAGATATAATATTTGGGAATGAGGAGTCTGCTGGGAGGAGTGCTGTTGGGGTACCAGCTGGGGCTGGGGTGTGGGTGAGGACAGAGGTGGCATTTCCCTTCCACTTTTGATCCCTCAAGTGTGGCCAAGTGTGAACTGTCCATGCTGCAGCGGTCTGCAGCCTCTTGGGTTGGTGCTCCTCTTTGTTGGACATAGTTATCAGTTCTTGGATAAAGAGAATCAAAAGTGCCTAGAAAGCAAGGTGCATCAAGTCTGTGCAGTGGGAGTACGGATGGTGTAGAGAGCCTGGGGCACCTGTGAATTTTCAGAGACCCTCCTTCACCAGGGCCCTAAAGCCCAGTGCTTGAGAAGAAATCAAGGAGAAACAGGGAGTGGCGGTGTTGCAACTTCTGTCCAGTCACTTCAGGCTTTCGGGTGGTTTCAGTCCTGAGCACTGGAGGAAGCGCTCCACCCTGAGATTGGAGTACCAGAGAGCCAAGGCTCTGTAATTCCTTCCTGCCACCAGCTGGGCCCTGACCTTATATGCCAAGAGGTTGCCTATAAAACTAGTCCCCAGAGCTCCCCTTCCTGCTTTGGCCAGATGGTAGCACCACCTCCTTCTCCCAAAGCGAGCTCATGGTTGTCTATCCCGCTCCCTGGTTTGACACCTCAGACTCACTCAGTTAATATTATTGTATTTATTGACATTTGGGACATAGGTCAAAAGTCAGTTTGGGTGTAGGCCTAAATGCTCTCAAAGAATGTTGTGGGCCACAGGAAGAGGCAATGATTGTCTTAGCCATTCCAGGTTGCTTACAAAGTGCTTTAATTTCCACTGTAATTGTGGCTAAACCGTGCAGTGCATTCCAGATTTCAGGCTCTTGCACATATTCCCTGAAATCTACTTGTGGAGGGGCTGCCGGCCCCTACCCCTGCCACACTGTGCTGGGCCCTTCTGGGGCAAAGCAGTTCTTGGTTGGAATACCATGGAGTTGTTGTTTCCAATCTGCACTGCATAACAGTCGTTGAGGCTCACAGACGGCAGTGACCCTTTAAGAGAAAAGGAGGTGGTGGTGGGAGGGTTCAGTGGTTAGAAAGATGAGTTTAGCAAGCACTTTGGGAGAGGAGCAGCGGCACCTTGTGTTCACACTGGGGAGTGCAAATGCAGGGTCTTAGCCTGCTGTGTGGGTGTCTCTGATGGAGGACTTCCCTGGACTGCTTTAGCAATAAATGAACTGTGAAGATTCATGGATTTGGCCCTGGGGAGAGTCAGCAGACCCTGGGGCATATACAGGTTTTGTTGTGTGGCCTCAGTGGGATCCTCTCCTAGTGGGTGTCAAGGTCCTCCTGTACTAAGTGAGGATTGGGTTAGATGGTCTCTAGTCCTTTTTTCCCCCTCCAAGGTGTTGAGGATGAAGGTGATGGGAAAGTTAAGCAGGGGGGAGCAATAGAGGGTGAAGAACAGGTACCTGCTGCTGGATTTGGCCCTGGGGCCCTGGAGGACCATTGGGTGCCATATCTTTCATATCCCTGCAAACAGCACAGAGTTCTCAGGCTTTCTATTCAAGAGGCTAGTTCCATCACTGTGCACCCCTCAACCCTAAGTTTTCCTTGGTCTTGCCAGTGTCTCACCTCATTCCTTTGGGGGTTAGGACCTGGGGTCTCGGCAGAGTTTGGGCCGGGTGTTGGGCCTCTGAAGGGTATAGTATGTGGCATCTGGGGAGTTCCAGCCACTGTATCTGAAGATGTCACTGCTGCTGTGGCATGCCCAGTTGGTTCTTCCTGGGTTCTTCCCCTCTCAGTAAGGTGTGTGCCCTTTTCAGGAACCGGCCTGGGGGACCCCTCCAGCTGCAGATGGTCCAGCATTTCAGAAACTGTGCTTTCCCCAGGGCTATCCATTTCTGCACCGCTAGGGCCTGGCTCTAGGACAGACAACTTAGTGTCGCTGTTTCTGCGCCGCCGAGACAGATACTGCTTTACCTGCACAGATGGGAGTTAGGGGAGCCAGAGTAAGCCCCAGGGGAGTATCCTCTTGATTTCTAATCTGTTACCTGGAGGGAGACTCAGAGGTAGGTTGGGGTGGGCAAGAATGATGGCCAAGAATTAAAAAACAAGGGCAGTGAAGACACATTGGACGGTCAAGGGAGCCACATGTGCCATTGCTGAATAGCTCCTGGGCGGAAAGGCAGTTTTGAAAACTTACCTCGGAGACAGCAGCATCTACCTTGTCCTGTACCAGGATGTAGGTATCATTGGTTTTTGGTCGGCAATCTGAAAGACAGCCAAGTGAGTTGTAGGAGAGCAGAGCTTTCCTTGGGTGAAGCTTCCTGCCTATTCAAGCCTATTCTAGCTGCTAGAGAAACAGCCAACTCACCCTGGAAGGATGGCCTGTCCTTGGGCTCAGGACTCCAGCAATGTATCATTAACTCCTTCAGTACTTCCAAGCCAGGAGTCTCAGGGCTGTGTGGAGGCAGTTCTGACAATGCTGGTCGATTGTGCCTTTCACAGATTGCGTCACGAACTAGTGATGTCTGGTCTACCACTGGAGTGGGGGGGGCGGTGATAACAGAAGGGGTTGGTGGTATGAGGAGACATATCATGGACAGGAGCAGGGAGTGCCATCTAAGGAAGGGGTGAGGTGGGAAGGGGGCAGCTGAGTAGATAAGGGTGAAAGAGTATCAGAGTCCATCTAGAGTCTTACACTCGGCTTCTCTTCCAGCCAGCACTGCCCACATGAGGATCCCAAAGCTGCACAGACACAAAATGGAGGCTTAGCTGGCCCACGGCAAGATCACTTTCCCGTATCACATCCTTTAGAAGGGCTCAAAGAAGCGTAGAAATAATTTGGGATGTTTTGGAGTGGGTAGCTTACCTGTAGACGTCACTGGCTGGGGAAGCCTTCCGGTTGACATTAACCAATAGCTCTGGGGCCAAGTAAGCTAGGGTACCCCCTGTATTCCTGGACCCTGACCCTGACTGTGACCCTCCCTGAAATGTGGACAGTCCAAAATCTGCTAGCTGTAAAGGAAAGGAAGAGGGAGGCATTAGATGAAGGGGGCCAGTCCTTCTCCAGAATCTTCCCTCTGTCTCCTCCAGAAGATGCAGCCTCAGCTTTTTGAAGGTGGTATTGAGGGCCAGAGGGAAAGGCAGAGTCAATGAGGCCTAAGGGAGGAGATCTAAGTTGCTGATGGGTCTGGGTCTAAGTACGTCAGAGTTTCTGGGATAAGTCAGCCTGGGTCCATGGGGTGGGGGTGGGGGGCTTTGTGGAATAGGCCTGTGGAACTGACCCAGGTGGGTAAGGAGGGCTCTGTCACCTGGTATGGCCATAGATAAAATTCCTGGTTGACCTGCGTAGTCTGGTATTCAGAGGGACAGACCGAGGGTATTTAGCATGGTCCCAAGCTTGCACTAGGGTGTAGATGGGCTGACCTTGGCGTGGAGCTCTGAGTCCAGCAGGACATTGGAGGGCTTGAGGTCCCGGTGCAGGAGCACTGGGTTCAAGCTGTGCAGGTAACACATCCCCAGCACCACTTCTTGCAGCAGGCGACAGAGGAGAGGCCAGGGCCGAGGGCACCAGGGCTGCAGCAGCCTGGCGACGGAGCCGTTCTCCATGAATCCTGTCACCAGAGCCGGCCCAGACACGTAGTTCCACTCGAGGTTCTCGGTGACCCCCAGCAGGAGCAGCACGTGCTGGTTACGAAGATTCGCCATAGCTTTCACCTCCCTGGATATCGCCTCCCTACACTCCGAAAGGGAGCCACAGTTGGGTGGGACCCTGGAAGACCTCCCCCCCCACCCCCCACCCCTACTTGTCCCTTCAGGCTCCTTGACCAGATCCTGCCTACAGCTGGGATCACTCACCAGTTCACGATCTTGACTGCAACATCATGGCCCCATTTTTTGTGATGTGCACGGAATACTACACCGAAACCGCCTTTGCCTACAAACTTCGGGTTCTTCAGTTCTTCACGGGACACGAGAGAGGCCGCCGAGGCATCAAAGGGCCTGAGAGAAGGTTCTCGTCCGGAAGGGGGCCCATCTCCACGTCAGCGCATCCTCTGTCACCCGAGCTCCGCGGCTGCCCGCTGGGCAAGTGTGTCAGCACCCCGCCCCCCCCGACACCCCGCGGCCCACCCGGACCGGCAAAGCAAAAGCGCCCCCTGAGTGTGTCCCGGAGTGTCCTTGTGGAGCTGAGGATCCAAGGCTCACTCCCCACTCACCATAACTTGTCAGAAGACATCAGGAGCTAGCGGCTTCCCGGCGGCGGCGGCGTTATGTGCACAGAAAGAGCGGGAAGGACGTCTACCGCTCGGCTCGGGGTTTGGGCTTAGAGGAAGACAGGGCCTGCAAAGGATTGATCTATATTGGTCCAGGCACGGAGGTCCAGGTCCCGAATTCCGCTTCCCAGGTCGTTCTCCTACTTCGAATGAGTTACTGAACAACTTCCTTCATAAAGTTAAAGGGCGGGCGCTTCTGCGGTCCTGCCCCCGGGGTGGGGCAAATGGAAACTTGGGGCTGTTCATTCTGTGCACCTGCTAGAACTGCTTCCACCTGAGGAGTAACTGGGCACTACTGAGTGTGCTCCGCACAAGAGTTTGTCTTCGCAGCTTGCCAACCACAGTGGGCTGAGGGGAGGATGAAGATTTTATGGTCTTAGACTCAACTCTCCAGAATCATGGGTAGTGCTTCTAATAAGGCTTGCCTTGGACCAGGTACATACACATAATGGCTTCTTTAATTTTGCATCAACCTTATTTACCTTTCTATAGACCAGGAAATCCAAGCATTTGCAATTTATGGAAATAGCTTAGAAGCTGGTTCTGTTCCACCAAGCTAGCCCTTATTTATTTATTTACTTAGAGAGGGGGGGTCTCTCTATGTAGCCCTGGCTGGTCCAGAACTTGCTATATAGACCAGGCTGAACCTGGATTTACAGAGGGCCACCTGCCTCTGCTGAAATTAAAGGTGTGTGCCACCATGCTTGGCTTATTTGTTTATTTAAAAAATTTATTTATGTTGTGCACATCCATGTACATGGGGGTGGGTGAATTTAATGACATGTGTATGGAGGTCGGAGGACAGCCTTGGGGGTTTGGCCTCATCTTACACCTTGTTTGAGATAGGGTGTCTTTGTTGTTCTCTGCTGTTTGCACAATGCTAGCTAGCCTGTGGATGTCCCAGCATTCTCCTGTCTCTGCCTTTCATCTTACTGTAGGAACACTGGGACACAGACATGGGCTGCTGTTCCCAGTTTCGCTTGAGTTGTGGGATTTGAATTCAGGTCCTTGTGCTTGCACGATGAGAGCTTTACCCATTAAGCTGTCCTCCCTGCCCCGTCCTCAAGCTCAAGCTAGTTTATTTTTTGCAAATGCTATCTAAGTGTGCCTGAACAGGTGCAGGTGGCTGGGGATGGTGTGATGCGTGCAGCAGTGTGCTCTTGGAGTTCTTACTCAGGTCATTATTAATGGCTGTTCCTGCTGAGGCAAGCCCTTGACATTGGTAGGGACTTGTCTGCTCTGTGAACTGCTCTGTGGATCTGGAAGGCTCAAGATCTACCCCAGGGCACTGCAATCAGGTGAGGTGTGCTGGCCCTGCCTTAGAGCTACTGCCATTGTGGTGTCCATTGCACAACTATGACCAACGGAGGGCTTCCCACTCTTTCCCTTTCATGGCATCTCCTGCATGCAAATACTCCAGTTCATGTTTTTGACATGCGTATACTCTGGATGAAGGCTTTTTCAAGACTCGAATCTCAGAGCATTGGGTAACAGGAATGGTGGTGCACTTTTTTTTTTTTTTTTTTAGACAGGGTTTCTCTGTGGCTTTGGAGGCTGTCCTGGAACTAGCTCTTGTAGACCAGGCTGGTCTCGAACTCACAGAGATCCACCTGCCTCTGCCTCCCTAGTGCTGGGATTAAAGGCGTGCGCCACCAACGCCCGGCTGGTGGTGCACATTTTTAATCCCAGCATTCAGGAGGCTGAAGCAGGGAGACCTCTAGGACCAGCCTGGTCTACATAAGGAGTTCCAGGCCAGGTAAGGCTGCATAACAAAACCTTGTCTCAAAATAAATAAGTAAAAAAGAATTTTGGGTAGGGGCCGGAGAGATGGCTTATCAGTTAAGAATAGTAGTTGCTCTTCCAGAGAACCGAGGATTGATTCTCAGTACCCATGCATGACTATATTTAACTCCAGTTCCATGGGACCTGACATCCTCATCTGTCCTCTGTGGGTACGAGGCATGCATGTGGTCACAGACGTACATTCAGACAAAACACTCATATATATATATATATATATTATACATATATTATATATATGATTAAATTAAAAAATTATGTCAGGCAGTAGTGGCACACGCCTTTAATCCCAGCACTTGGGAGGCAGAGGCAGTTGATCTCTGTGAGTTCGAGGTCAGCCTGGTCTTCAAAGAGAGTTCCTGGACAGTCTCCAAACCTACAGAGAAATCTGTCTCAAAAAACCAAATAATAATAATAATAATTAAATTAAAGTAGACAAGAGAGGCCTGTATTTTGTCACTCCATGGCAAGATTGTGGCTGGAGGCTGAAAAAGACCATTTAGTCTTTTACAGGAGGATCTAATCTCAAGCTAACACCTTGGGACAGTTTTATAGTTACTCCCTATTCTTTCTTCCCAGGCCCCATAAGCCACCACTTTTTGTCTCTCTATGTAAATCTGAACACTTCAGGTGCCTCATAAAAGAGGAACAATATGCCATCTATCCTTGTATGACTGGATTACTTCATCCAGCACACTGTCTTCAAGGTTCATTATGTTACGGGATTTTTCTGCATTTTATTAAGGTTAAATAGTATCAGTAAAGGCTGAAAATATTCCAGCATGCTACATACCACACCTTTATATCCATTCATCCTTTCTGTGCATTTGGGCAGTTTTCTCCTTATGGACGTTGTAAATGATGGTGCTATGAACATTATTGTACGATACTATTCGAACCCCTGCTTCTAGTTCTTTCAGGAATATGCTGAGAAGTAGAAGCGGTCATGGCAGATGCTGTTTGGAATGAGAGAGCCACCCCTCTCATCAACATGGGTTTGGTAAGATGCTCACTGGCTTGGGTTGAATACACTGGAAAACTTCCTCTCCTTGCAACATCTCAGAATTCTGAAATCTTAGTTTGCATCTATCAGGAATTTCTTAGTCTGTTGGAGATGAAGTTTGTTTTCATTGTTCTCAAAATGTCATCTTTTCACTCCTTGAAGAAATAGATTTGCAGGATATATGATTCTGTGTTTACATTTCTAGTGTGATTCCAAGTTTATGTATGTTAAACCTCCTTGTTCCGTACACTAAACTTTTCTATATAGCCTTGCCTGTCTCTGCTGCAATAAACGGAGACTCTTTCAGGGGACCAGTTTGTTCAGCTGTGTCTCCATTTAATCCAGCTCTGCAATTTTAGCAGTTACACACGTTTTTGGTTGATGTCCCCCCTCAACCCCAATCTATCTGGGTATTAAAAAAATATTTTTGTGTTCTTTTTTGTTTTTTAAATATCCTCTAGTAATCATTGGTAATAAGAGCAACAACGTGAATGTACTTTGTGAATATTTTAAATTCTTGAAACGACAAATTTTATGCTACACATGTTTTACAAGTAAAAAGAATGTTAGATAAAATTTCATGCGTCATAAAGGAGATTCAGGGACTGGGGAATGCAGCTCAGTTGGTGGCCTGCTGGCCTATCATGTTGTGAGTCGTGAGTTGGATCCCCAGCACGTGTATGAATCAGGAGTGGTGATGCACACATGTAATCCTATCATCACTACACTCTAGAGACTGGTGGGAGGAGGCTCAGAAGTTTGTTATTTTTAGTTACATAGTAAGTTTAAGGGCAATCTGGGCTACATGAGACCTTGCCTCAAAAAAAGAAGAAGGGTATATGAAGACATGTTAATAAATATTTAATTATTTGTATTAACAAGCTGTGTGTAGATGTTAAATTTTACTGGGGGGAGCCAAGCATGGTGGCTCATACCTTTAATCTCAGCACTCTAGAGCCAGAAGCAAGAGGATCTCTCCTGTCTCAAATAAAAGAAAAAAAAGGAGAGAAAAGAAAAGGAAACCAGGCAGTGGTGGTGCAAACTTTTAATCCCAGCACTTGGGAGGCAGATGTTGTGAGTTCAAGGCCAGCCTGGTCTACAAAGCGAGTTCCAGGACAGCCAGGACTGTTACACAGAGAAACTGTGTCTCAAAAAACAAAACAAAAATATTTTTTTTGGTGAAGGAAAAAATAAACATGTAAAATTTGGAATGGTAACATGTGCTTATAATCATAACACTTTGCAGATCCAGGCAGAAAGATGAGGAATTCAAGGCCGTCTTCTCGATGACTCCTAAATTCGAGGCTAGCCTGAGCTACAGAGTGAGAGACAGCCTGTCTCAAAAATAGAACATAAAAGAAAAGAAACAATAAAAGAAAAGAAATTTGTATAAACCTGTTTAGAAAACTATCTGGGTCAGGCAGTGGTGGCGCACACCTTTAGTCCCAGCACTTGGGAGGCAGAGGCAGGAGGATCTCTGTGAGTTCAAGGCCAGCCTGGTCTACAGAGTGAGTTCCAGGACAGGCTCCAAAACTACAGAAAAACCCTGTCTAGAAAAACAAAACAAAACAAAACAAAAAAATCTGAATGAGAGACAGACATGTTAGCCTGCAAGAAAGAACCAGAATGAAGCCATTTTGAATAAAACGTCCATCTTGAATAGGGGTCAAATAAAGTTTAAGTTATCCAGACCTCCTCAGATAACAGTGACATCCTGGTTGGCAGGGTGAGGCTCTAATGGTGGACAACCTGTCCCATCACACCTGAGTGAACCAACCAATGAGAACAAGGTAAGTGTACCACTAGGAACAAATGTTCCTAGTGTAAGTAAAAATGAGTGCCAGGTTTTGGCACCAAAATGTAAGGGGGTGTGAGTGTTACAGCTTTGGAGTCTCAAAGGTGTTCTGACTTATCAGGAAGCCAGGTTACCCAGAACTGCAATAGGACAGCTCTGGAATGGTAGAGCCGTAATAGGACAGCTCAGCCCTGGAGAGAAAGGTGTCCTGACTTTTCTGGAAGCCAGGCTACCTGAAGCTGGGGTGCGGTAGGGGATGGTCTCCCTGCAGGATATAGCAATCCTGCTAAGCTCTGCAGTGTTGCCCTTAGTGAAGTCCTAGCTGAGCTAAGTGCTTCTGCTCTTCTTGGCTGCAGTGGGCTGAA